GGCATAAAACACATACACAGCTGCTTCGCATTGAACGCCTTCTTGACGTTGGGCAGGAGATCCGCGGGTCCTCCGTCCGCACGGCTCGGGTCGGGCACGAAGTGCGGCTTCTCATCCGCCAGCCACTGCTCACCACCATCAGCAATCACCATCACCACCACCCCCACCCAGACCACACGCACCTTGTGCTCGAGCGCCTGCGCGGCCGTCGGGCGCTGCGCGGGGTCGATGGTGAGGCACGTCCGCACGAAGGCCTTGGCGGTCGCGGACACGTTCTGCCAGTACTCCTCCGGCTCGAACTTGTAGTCGCCCGCGAGGATCGCCTCCATCTCCTGCTGCTGCGAGTCGCGGTCGAACGGCGTGTACCCGCGAGCAGGAAGTAGGTGATCACGCCCATGGCCCAGACGTCGACGGGCTTGCCATGGCCGGCTAGTGGATGATGAGATGCGAGGGAGGACATGAGCAAGAGACGCACTCTTTTTGAATATTTCGGGTGCCATGTACTGCAGACGGATCAGAAATAGATAAGACAGAGATGGCAGCACGTACGCCGGGTGTACCACAAATCTCCGTCAGCTGGTTGAGCTTCTCCTGCTCCATGACTCTGCTGAGGCCAAAATCAGCGATCATGATATCCGCGTCCTCCGCCTCGGTGCGGAAGAGCAGGTTCTCGGGCTTCAAGTCTGGCAACGATCATCAGTGGGCGCCTGATGGCGGCGCAAGAGCGGCGGCACGCACCGCGGTGCACGATGCCGGAATCGTGGATGTACTGCACGGCGACGAAGATGGTGCGCACGAGCGCGCGGGCGTCACTAGAGGGGGCGGTGTGAATAGGGTCTGCAGACGGGCGGGAGCACGTACGCCTCGTAGTAGTTGCCCTTGGCACATATCCGGTCGAACAGCTCGCCGCCGGTGCACAGATCGAAGCAGAGATAGAGATTGTGCGCGGTCTGTAGGATTAATGAGCGGCGATGGCGCGATTACATGAGAGACGGTACCTCGAAGTAGTCGTGGAGGGTGACGATGTTGGGATGGCCGCTGGACACGCGCTTGAGGACGGCGATCTCGTTGCGGACCTGATAAGGGCGCGAGATGAAGGCCACGCCGGACGCTACGGGTGGGAAATGGGCGCACGCACCATGTGTTCGCGGCCCTCCATGAGACGCTTGTTGATGACCTTGCAGGCGTAGTACTTGCCGGTCTCGACGTGGATGGCCTCCTTGACGATGGCGTAGGTGCCGCTGCCGAGGGTCTTCCCGGTACGGTACTGCGGGCGGTGGTCAGCTGTGGGCGGGCGCGCACGACGAGGAGGGCGTTACCTGGCAGGGGACGGTGGCAGGCATGGGCTGGGGCTGGGGGTGGTGGTGGTGGATGAGAAGCAGATAGGGACAACACAGCCACTACCTTCTTCGTCTCGTAGATCGGCGTCTCGTAGTCGCTGCTCCCCGCGCCCGCCGCAGCCAGCTCCGTCTTGCTCGCCGTCGTGCTCGGCGTCGCAGACCGCCCAAACGTGCCCTTCAGTGGCGTCTTCAGGTCCACCTTCGACAGCCGCTTCAGCCGCCCCACACGGCCCTCTGGTCGACTCTGTGACGTGCCCATGTAGCAGGAGATATTTCAGGAGGGTGATGGGGTGGTGGTGGTGGTTCCGGAAAGCGAGCAAGGGCAGGCGAAGGAATGTTTATATCGCCGCGACACTGCCACGCACCCCCAGCACCTCTCTCCTGACCGCCATCTCCCGTCACGGCCACAGTGGCAGTGACATCCCCCATTCCACCCGCTCATCGCTTTCGCTTTCTTTGCCCCGCGGCCGTCTGCCAATGCGCAGCGCTGTGTCTTACGTGTGCCATACATATCGAGCACGGGCGGTGTCTCTGCCAGATCATCAATTTTCGGCTCAAGGGAAGACGCATCGTGTGTAACACGCCTCTAGCACTAGCAGGCTAACTGACGTTCGATGCCCCTATTTTTACGTCGAACGTCGTCGAGATGACTGTTAGTTATGAGGTGTGAATCATGTACGTTTACCCATTGCCTGGTGTTTGACCATTTTTCGTACCCCGCACTGCACAAGTACGACAGCTGTTGGCTCTGTCTTGGTCGTATAATCCATCTACTCTCAAACAAAGCGCCTGCTCGGAGTCCTAGACTTCCACATGACGCCAATAGTATTCATTTGGCAATTGCCATCACCCAACGTTGCAAGCAGCTGCGCAGACCAAGCGCCGGCGCATGACCGCAGCAGTGCGCATCAATCAGTGCGCCAACGTGGATATTTCAAGTCAGCTCTCTTGCTCATCGCTGAACAGCTCGGGTCACCAACATGTCAGAGACCATATTCACAAACCTCCGCCAGCCTTCCAAGATCCGCTCGAACTCTGAACCTCAACGTCAGCTTCAACAACCACAGAACCCCAAAACACTCTCTCCTTTTGTCAACTACTACGCCGATTGGGCCTGCGCCTCTAATTGTTTTATCTATTCAATTTATCTATTCCTCAAGCCTCCCAGCGGTTGAATGCGCCACTGAATACCGCGCCGGATCCTTCAATAGAGAAAGACTATGAAAGCCTATGAAGGTTTGGGTTTGTTCGCCGTCGCGCTCAGCCTCAGACTCAATCAATTTCGAACGAACCTGCCTGATGGTTCCTTTATTGTTCTGTATGACGTTGGCCTCTTGAGTTTTGCTGAGTCTTGTCCTGACCCTAGGGGCGAGGATCCATCGATGCTTTGGCCGTTCGATCAGAGGCCTGGTAATCGCAATCGAGCTCTGCTCTTTTCGTTGGCCTCGATTGTTAGATTGTTGGAGCCGCCATTCATTCCTTGACCATCTATCCAACCATCCTCCATCCCACCCCACTCCTACGCTCTTGTGCGTTCTGCGCTTTGTTCATGCATGCGCGAAAATGCTGTTCAAATTGAGTAAAACATCTCCAACGCTAAATAAATTCTGCCGCCCACAACAATAAGGACCTGGCTCGTACGCCTCCGCCGATGAACACAAGTAGCCGTACCCTTATCCGCAGCCCATATTCCAATACCAACTCAGATCCAATCGCTCTCCAGTACGGGTATTCAATATTCAGATTCATTCATCCATGCGCTACGGCAACCCCATATTTCGCGGTCCATGTGAATTCCACCACCACTACCATCATCATCAAGGATCTACGGATGGATGTCCCAGCAAATAGGGATCGAGAGCTAGAAGACAATAAGCCTCCCCGGCTCGGCGTCCGAGGCCTTTCCATCTATGGAAATATCCAGAAGCATACGCAAATAAAAGGGAATTCCTGACGTCACACACGAACACTCTGTCCGGGCTCGCTTTTTGTTCTACGGCGCGGGCTTGCATGAGACCGGCAGCACATATCCTGTATTTCATTCGAGTCACCTCCTGATGGGCCACTGGATGGATACGGGATCTTGAATGTTCGCTGCTAAAGCCAGCGTTATCACCTTCCCTTGCAAGCACGCACAGCGAGGAATTTGAATTTAATGTCCGTGGTTATTGTTTGGTTATTGTTTTAAATTCCACCCCCAATTTTTGCAGGCCAATGTTTATTGTTGGTTTATTGTTGTGCGGGAGGTATTGGGCCCTCTTCCATTCGATTCGCTCCTCCTCCACCTGGCGCGCCCGCACCCATGCATGGCCGAGCCGTCCATCCCCGCGCGCGGCCTGCCTGAGACCCGTGTCCCCCACCCACACCTATAAAAGCACGCCAGAACGCACCCTCTCTCCCCAGTCGCACCTCCACCGCAACTGCCCACCCACCCAACTCACCCACCCAAACACACATGGACTCCTTCACCCCCATCACCGCCACCATCGTCACCGACGCGCCCACGAACGAGGACACCGGCAGCGGCGGCGGCGGCAACGCCTACTGCGTCGTCTCCCAGAGCGAGGCGGTGCCCGCGGACGAGGACACCGGCAGCGGCGGCGGCGGGAACGCGTACTGCGTCGTCGCTTGAGCGCCTTCGCTCGCGACGGCCTCTTTCACGTTCATCCACCCCGGCCATCATTGTACGTCCTCTGCAAGGAAATTCTCCTCTCCCCGCGCTTGATATTGATATTGATGCGCTTGTCTTTAGGATCTAGACGCTGTCGCTCCACCCGCACGATGTTCACCTCAACCCACGGTCGTCGAGAGGCGCGATGGTGTCCGTATTTGATCGACTATTATTATTACATTCGACATTTCACCAGGAAGGAGGAGGGGCGCCATCTTAGTTACTTTCGATCTTCTTCGGATGGCGGCTGGAAGTTTAAATTGCATGCATTGTACATCATGATTATTTGTATTACATTCAAATTGTATTTTCGACGTGGTCGAAACGGTGTGGTTGAATGTGTCGTTTTTAAGAGGTTTCCTTCATGTCTTGTCACCATGGACCCTGGAGAAGAAATGAGATCTATTGAATTGAGATACTTCTTCTTGACTTTGTGTCCTTAGCAGCGCAAGCTCGAAATTTGAATGCGTGGACGGTTTAGTCGGGCTTCAAGCTCGTCCGTAAGGGACAAACACGTGAACTCCAATACAGTTATACACGTCGCCTGAGCGCCCGTCTTGTGCCCTGAAGCTTGAGCTCAAGCGATGGACTCGGAGGGCTTGAACAAACCCCATCGTATTCTTTTGCAGGAAGGAAAGTGTCAGATCGATTAAGGTTCCAATTCTTTATCGCCAAATTTCCAACAAACTTCATAAGCCTCGGCGCTCAAGAGCTTCGAGCTCAAGCGTTGCTCAAGCGCTCAAGCTTAATAGGAATTCATACAAAACTTGGATGTACTGGGACAAATTTCCGCTGTTGTATGCTCCATCCGGTAATTGAGACCAAGTCTTTCGAACGAGGACGATCGCGACCAAATCGATAATAATAATAAAAAATCTGTAAATCTGTAAAAACCTTCTCTCTGAGAATATACCACACCTGAACAAAATAACCAGTGCGTTCCAGCGTTGCAGCTTGTTGATTAGCGGCATACAGGAACCGAACCCGCATGCCCCATGGCTGAGTTGGTTACAGCGTCCGACTGTTATGATCAAGGAATGATTTAATGGACTGTCCATAAGTAAAGTAACATCGGAAGGTCGTGAGTTCGAAACTCACTGGGGCAGATACGTTTTGCTTCTCTCTTTAGCTAAAAGACATGAAAGAACTTCAGAAGCTAAAGTGGCAGTCTTACCACTGGCAGAGCTGAGACTCCGAGAGGCTTAAGGTTACTTTGAACTCCGGCGACGGATGATAGTCGCGTGAGTCCACGCCGCCGCGTGTTTGATGCCACTAGTAAACGTTAAACGTATTAAAGGTTCAAAGAAAGGTCAAGAGTTTCTTATTTTGGTGTTGACCGTATTTACCCACTGCTGGACGCAGGCTGAAAACACTTTGGTCTGAAATCTCTGTTCACTAAATCCATCAATTCACCTTCTAGATCTTGGACGGCACCATGGCGGCTCGGACCTTGCATCCCAGTTGCATCCCCAACCACTTCCAATCAACAACTAGGATCTCGCCACCGAGGCACTCTTCCACAACGTTTGTGCGCAATGTTTGATGATGGAGGCTAGTGCAGGCACTGATACGGAGACCCTCATGCTTGCTCGCTGCCTGGACTATCTGATTTGGGAGCTCCCACATGAAGCCCGGGAACTTGTTGTTGGATTTATGGAAGGCTGTGCGAGCGTGAGCAATGCACCACAGCACAACAGCCCAAGATCCTATTTTTAGTTTAGTTAATATTCCTCCGTTTCCATCCTTATTGTGAATGATTTCTCCATTTCGTAGTACGCAGTGTAGTTACAGTATATAAAGAGTACTTTAGCTTTGTAGATAGTCATCCGTTTGCCTCACGAGCTCACCGAGGCCAACCGGAATTCATTCCTCTTTGCTTTCCTTCGTCTGATCTCGAGATGATCACGAGATTGCGAGATTGATTTCAACACAAACGGATCCTGTCCTCTCGGGTGGGTCAGCCTCACATACACCCCGTTGCGACGTTCTCTTGTTTGTTCCCTCGCCGCCGCCGTAACTCGTTCATTCGACCTCTCGGATCTCGCTGGAGTTGAGACTCGCGATTCGACGTCATCCCGGGCCGCTTTTCCCACTCGCTGTCGCCCGAAGATAAGCCGCTTGATCGAAGCGCACCCGCTGAAGCTCGCGAGTAGATGCCGAGGCAGAAGATGGTTCCGGACCATTATTCCGTGAAGAAGAAAGCCGCCGTTGACGATTGGCGCATGTTACATATGACGAAGACAAGCCGCTGTTGATGATCAGCGCAGACGAACACAAAGCCGCTGTCGACGATCAGCGCAATCACAGTACGATCTGGGCCGCGTTGAGTCGTGCGCATGTTTTTGCCCTGATTTTGAAGAAGCCGAAGAAGATTTGACGAGGAAGCTAGAATGCGAAGGTTGTCGATGAGATTTTGATGAGATGAATGAAGTTTTTGGAGATTTATTCCGAGTGTGGGGGAAGGAATTTTTTTATGCCGATGAATTTTCTCTGCAGACGACGACGACGTGCAAACGACGAGACGCTCGAAGTAGGCGCCCATCGAGCACAGCCACGAATTACCGCCGAAGTCGAGACCTAGGCACTGACGCACACAGTTCTGAGCCGTTTTGAGCCCCTCTTGGAATTTTTGATTCAACAGGAGAGTTATTGGTTTGAGGGAGTGCATTCATCTTTCTGTGAGCCTGTTATTTTATTTTTGATTCTTTTTATCTTTTTGGTACATTGCTTCGCTCGAGGGAGTGTGTTGGATTTATGGAAGGCTGTGCGAGCGTGAGCAATGCACCACAGCACAACAGCCCAAGATCCTATTTTTAGTTTAGTTAATATTCCTCCGTTTCCATCCTTATTGTGAATGATTTCTCCATTTCGTAGTACGCAGTGTAGTTACAGTATATAAAGAGTACTTTAGCTTTGTAGATAGTCATCCGTTTGCCTCACGAGCTCACCGAGGCCAACCGGAATTCATTCCTCTTTGCTTTCCTTCGTCTGATCTCGAGATGATCACGAGATTGCGAGATTGATTTCAACACTTGTCGCACGAGAGATCGTCAATTGATATTTGCTTTGCATACCTGGACGAGATGCGGTCTCTGTCGCGGCTTTATACCAATTATTTCTGCATACTTTATCACCCACTTCGGCTTCATCTTCTCTTTGGATCGACAGAGCAAAGGACATACCCCAGCTCCATCGAAGCTCTCATCTCGCTAGCGAAGCCATGGAACAAGCCCCAACGAACTACCAAGCTGCGAAAAAGTCGGTAAGTACTATGGCCACAGCCTTCAAGAATAAATTGAAACCGTGCATGTTCCCCTAAGTAGATACCGCGAGCGGGCCGGCGATCCGCTCACATGCAAGCTCCGTCAGTTGACTGGCGAACTGCCTGTTCCTTTCTCTCATACCCTCCCATGGCCGCTCTGCGAACGTCGGGCACCTCCACCGCCACTCGGTGGTGCAGCCCCCGCCTACATCCGTGCTCCTGAGACCTTTGAGGAGCAAGAGCCTGTACACCGTCCCCCACCCCCGGCGTCCGCGCAGCCGATCGCGAACCTCGTCGACTTGGAGGTGGGAGCTTCGTCCGCCCCCAAATATGCGCCGCAGTATCCATCCGTGCGATCGCCTTCGTCGGGACCCTGCTCGCCGGCAGGAGGGCGCGCCGCCGCCGACGGAGACGGACGAGATCGCGGTGGTCGTCGCCGCCACGGATGAGGTCTCGCGCAAACGTGAGATGCAGCGTCGTGGAGTCGCTCGCGCGCACTGCGCCCGTCGTGAAGCGCCTGGTGGGGTATTCGTCGCCGAGGAGAGGATTGAGCGGCTGTATCCTCTGCGGTGGTTCGGGGATGCGAATGGACTTGGCGGGGAGGTGGGAACGGCGAGCCGGAGGTGTGGCTCGCGTTCGACTGAGGACGCCGTTCTTCGTTCGCTCCGCGCCGCGAGTTGCGTTTGCGACGTGCGTCCATGGTCTTCTGAGTACCAGAACCACGTATACACATAGATCAATCAACACACACACAGATGGCTCTTTACCGACATGAGACGCGATCTACATTGAAATCAAGCGCCCTACAGACTATCATTGTGTGCGACCTCCTGTGGACGACATCAGCATTATGAAATGTTCCATAGCAGTCCATCAGAATTGCGGACACTGCGCCACACCACTAATGCTGACGTTGAAACTCAGACGTCAGCTTGAAAGCATGAAACGTTGAACGGTCTACTTGCCATCCTTTTTGATGTAAGTTTTGATTGTAACTTGTATTCAAAAGCTGATTTCTATCTTGTACTTCGTAAAATTCCTCTTCGCATTTAGTTGTAAACATTGCGCTTAGTTGGGCGCTCAAAATGTGCCCACAGTGCGCCAAGCACCTTGATTGTTCGCCTCTAATTTCTGTTTCCGCCTCGGCATTCTCAGCAACGAGGCCGTTTAGGATTTTCCGGCACTTCAGCGTCCCGAATACGTAAAGGTTCTGAAAATCTGCGTGTGGGCGGCCGCAGGTATGACGTTACCGTGTTAAAAGCTTTTTAAGAGTTCGTCGTTGAGTTTGTCCTTTTCTTCGCTCCCATACTTGATGATAACCAAACTTTCTACCCAGAGCATACAGAACTCTGTCTAAACAGCTGTGATTGCTAACGAGTGTTCTACGGGTAGAAATGAAGGCCACAAATTAAGGCGGTCGACGCGTCTTTTTCAACGCACCAGTTCCTCACAGCCAGACAGGTGCGAACAGAGTGCCAGCTCATGCGATTATATTTTAGCTCAAAAAAATGAATTATTAGCTTATCTAGCCCTGACGATGTAACACTCACACCCAGCAAAGAGCGCTCTGCCACCGACCCGCCTATTCAGCCTCCAAAGAAGAAAGCCGCACCCGCACCTCCAAACCCGAAGGTGTCAGAATGCTCGGAAAGCTGTCAGGCCTCTTCGCCTGCCGATCGACATCTTCCTCGAGATCACCTCCCACCTCCACCCGCTCGATCTCCTCCATCTGTCGCGCGCATCGCGCCACTTCGCACGCATGTTCTTGCGCACGGACAATCGGCACGCCTGGTTGGCTGCGCGTCGGACGCTGGTGGGCCTTCCTGAGTGCCCTAGCGATCTCACTGAAGCTCGCTATGCCCATCTTCTGTTTGAATCCATCTGTTCCGTGAGTATCCATGTTCCGCGACCTCTTCATTTGCTCACTTAGTGCATGTAGGGCTGCGGGAAAATTGGCAGACGTCTTCTGTTCAATCTTCGCGTTCGCTTCTGCGCGTCCTGCTACAAGGCCAAGGTCGAGACATATTAATGGTCGATGATGACGATGATGAGGATGTGAAGACAGTGTTACAATTTGTGCCTCATAATTGTACGTCTTTATTCTATGTTCTTTGTTACCTCTTGCTAACCTAGAGCAGATAGCGTCACGGATCCGAGCGTCGTTGAATATTTCGAAGATCAACTCCACGCCATAAAGGACGAGTACTACAAAGCGGAGGCTATTGGTGCAGGACATGTCTTTCGTGCGGAGAAGCAAGAAACGATGTTAGCTCTGATTGAGCATGGAACCCTAGTCCGCAATTTTTTGGATGAACTCCAGGAGCAAAAAGAACAGGAGGCGACGCGGCTCAGAGTAGCCCGGAAGCTGCAGTATGTTTATCGTGTATCAGTCGAGATCCACCATCTAAGTCAATATGCGCTTTTTGCAGGCTCGACGCACGAATTATGGCTCTAGGCTACACTAGCGACGAGATTCCAGAAGACTCCGTAGCGTATCAGGAAGAGATCAGAAAAACCCAAGCCCTGACCGAGCGTGGTAAGTGACTTGGTCTATCCCTCGAACTACCACCTAATTGATTTCTCGCACTCGCAGCGTGGAATAATATGGCAAAGAAAATGAACAGGCTCGCCGCATCGCGTCGCGAGGAGGTGTTCTCGGAAAACCTTTGTCACCGGCTCGGCGAGTGGGGTGCTATTTACAACGACAGGTTCCGCGGCGACTGGCCAGACTCGCTGAATGCCTCGCAGACGGACGCGGTGGAGGAGATGCTCTCGGAGGCGAACGCGAGCATACCCTTGACCCTCGTGCGCTTCGATGCGCATTACGAGCGCATCCTCGCGGAC